AGTTTGAATACTCTGTTGCCCACCCATAGCAACCACCCAAAATCGGCACGACATACACTCAGACACTCACTTTGTCTGTCTCCAGCCATTCCCCTCGCGGAGATTTTCAGGCACCTCTTAGCAATTGGTGGGTCGGTATAAGCCCCTGCTTGGATCACTAAACCATACGAGACAATTTAGCGATGCCACCCTAAGGTGCACCATGGACCCGCGGATTGGGACTCCACACTCGCTTCGCAGACAGGCTGCGTCTCATTCACACAGACTCAAACAGGTTCATTCTCCACCCACTGCCCTGTTCCTGGGAGTCACGGTTTCTCTCAGAAATTGAGATACTTGGGTGACTCTGGGAGGTGATCAGTCTCCCTGCCTGTCCACTAATGGACAGGCTGCCTTAAGGGACCCAGGTCCTTACCTGTCTGGTCAGGCAGCTCCCAAGCTGGCTTCTGTAGCCCTCCGGGTTCTTTTGTGCTCCCAGGTCGGTCCCCTGTGGCCAGAAGGGGAGACGTCCCCATTGACGGACAAGCGTCCGCTGGCGCCGAGTAGAGTGCACGTACCCTTTCGTCAAGGGAGCCAGACCTCGGGGACAAGGGGTGTGGAAAATATCACCGTCACCATAACCCGGACGAACCCCCAATTATGTTGCGGGGAAACTCAGAGAGAGAAGACACCAAGTCTCAGGAAGCAACATTTATTAATGCCAGCATTAGGTAGGAATTCGGAAATATTAAACGCGGAAGTCTTAATGACTATGCAGTCTAGGAATGTCTTTGTCTGAAGCTCCCTGCTACACTGCGGAATCCTTAGTGACCACATTGTATGGGAAGGCCTTTGTCTAGGGCCCACTGCCACACTACTAATATAATCTTTCCGCAGTGCCTCTTAATGACATGCGTGTATTGTTTTTGGATGCCTCTGGTCGTTCCATTTGCAGAATGTGAAAGAATTCATGACTCAGAAAAGTTAGAAAGCAAGAAAAAATTTATTAAGTTTATTGAAAGTTAGACAGCGAGGGTGCCCCTGGCAGCATCTAGAGAAGATGGCTGCCTTGAATTTCAGATTCACTTTTTCTTTTATAGTAAACTGTAGGTCATTTTCTTACAGCAGAGGATATGACATACAAATTCAAGACATTTGACATAGGGCTGAGGTCATTTGATTGCTATGCACAGATAACTGTTTTTTTTCTGTGCATGCCCTTACCCAAAATGCATACAGAAAAACCCATTGAGGAGGGCAAGCCATAATGTTCATTTTATTATATTGTGCTATAATGAGGCCGGAGATCAGGCTAAGGGCAAGCTCCAGTAGTCTGTGCAGGTGCCCCAAACCAGACAATTCTGGCTGGGTCTTATCTCCCTTCTCTAGAGGTGTTTCAACAGAAAAATTTATCTCTAGGGGCTGGGCCTGCGTGGTCCCTGGGGAATTGGTGCAAAGTACTGATCAAATCACCTTCTGCTAATCCCCCTTGGGCTCACTTTTTTTTTAAAGATTTTATTGGGGAATTGGAGAAAGGGAGCAGCCAAGTTGTTGTCCTTCAATCTTAGTTGTGGAGGGCGCAGCTAGCTGAGCTCCAAGTTCAGTTGCCATCCAGCCATCCGTCAGCAGCTCATGGTCTCTCAGCTCAAGGTGCCGTGTTCAATCTTAGTTGTGGGTGGGCATAGCCCACCATCCTATGCGGGAGTCTAACCGGCAACCTTGTTGTTAGGAGCACGTGCTCTCACCAGCTGAGCCATCCTGCCACCTGTTGGCAGCTCAGCTCAGGCACAGCTCACTGGCCCATGTAGGAATCCAACTGGTGACCCTGTTGCTCAGATCTTGCACTCTTAACCAACTGAGCCACTCGGCCAGCCTGGACTCACTTTTGTTAACTCTTTTCCTGCCTCATCAATGCAGACTGCTCAAGGGTGATTAGCTTCAACTCTTTCAGTGAACTGGGTCTGCATAGGGCTTGGCCTCTATAACAAACTTGACTGTCTTCTCCATTCTTCTGGCATGGTATTGACATGGTTGTTTAGAATTATAATTTACTTTCCAGTAATTTCAAAATGATAGCCATTCTAGTGTGTGTGAAGGGGGTATCGTATTGGTGTTTTAATTTGCATTACTGTTGTGGGCCAACCGAGTAGCACCCTGCCCCCACTGGAAAACTTTTAAGTTTTCTTTTCTATAGAAATGTTAAGTATAGAAATTTTAAGTTTCCTCCTCCCTAGTTTCTTAGTTTGTTAGCTCTTGGCTTTGTTTACTCCTTTAAGTAGTTTCTTAATCCTAAACAATAGATTGTACATAGAAACCTCCTACACTTGCTTCAGATAACTATTGGGTTATTCGAAAAGTCATGACGTATTTTTCTATGTTTTTCATTGCAAAAACACGTCATGACTTTCCTGACAACCCAATACTTAAAAGCCTGTTACTTCCCAATGTCTCCCCAACCCATCCCAGAGACTAAATATGTTTTAACATTTCCCCAGGCCAGTAAACCTAATGATTCTTTCCAAACCCATTCTGGGCCCAGACAGTTGACGCCACCTGAGTGACTGGGTTGAATGGCCACAGGCTTCATGAGAGCTAGCAGATTTATTAAAATCTAATTTCCTCATTCAGGGGCCTTAGGGATACAGAGGATACCCCAACAAGATTGCCAGTCACATCCAAGGAAGCCAACACAGTCTTCCAGGTGGATCTCGAGACCTCTTCCTCTCATCTGAGATCAGATAGGGTGAGAGTTCCTTGAATCCCTCAATAGGCAGGGACAGCTCTACACCCCTGCCCAGAAGAAAGCAGATACAGAAGAAAAGACCTCCTATCCCTCAACTTCCCATAGAGATTTTATGGGGATCACGTCTCTCAAAGGGGAAAACAAGGCAGACAGTTAGAGGTAGGCATTGGGTCTCTGCATTCCTGCACGTCTCACAGAATTCTACTGCCCAGGAGACCTCCCTTCTCCACCCAAAACTCCCCTTGTGTATTGTAATTACCTACCCCTGAGGGAAAACAAATGGGCACAAAATACCAAACTAGATCAGACCAGTCACTTGCACCTGTGCAGTACATCTTATCCATTACAGGTGCCAATCAAATGGTCCCACGCCCAGAGGGGAACATCCCATTCTAGAGAAAAAGGAATAAAAACCCCAAGTTCAGAGAAGCCCCTCTCTTCCTCTCTTTTTGAGCCTTTTGAGCCTCACCTTTGCTTTGCATGGCCCACTCCAAACTCTTTGGAATGTAATTTCTCTTTTAATAATGGGCCCTTGAGCCGTCCTCTACTGCTCAGGCCCACTACTATTTGTTTGAAGTGTACTATCTATTCTAATAAACTGCTTTTTCACTACTTTGCCTTGGTATCTTGTTCAATTCTTTGCTCGAGATGCCAAGAACCTGGACCTCGTGCTGAGAAGGGCCCACTCTCTGACAACATTACCATGACTGTCAGACATATTTTGTTTAACATATTTTTGTGTGCCTGTTGACCATTTGTATGTCTTCTCTGGAGAAGGGTCTATTCGAGTCTATATTCAGATTTTAGTTGTCTTGATGAGTTTAAATTTTTTTTGTATAAACTGAATCACAAACTTTAATCAGATATATAATGTACACCTATTTTCTTCAATTCTCCAGGCTGTGTTTTCACTTTCTGGATAGCTTCCTTTGATGTACAAAGGTTTTTAACACTGAGGAAATTTTCATTTATCTATTATTTTTTTCATTGCTTGTGCTTTGGTGGCAGATTGAAGAAATGATTGCTAAATCCAAAATGACAAACATTCATCACAATGTTGTCTTTTAGAGTTTTTAATTTAACCTCAGACATTTTATCTATCTTGAGTTAATCTTTTGTGGTGCAAGGTTAGGGTCCAGTTTCATTCCTCTGCTCTTGGATACTGCATTGATCAGCACCATTTTTCTTTTTCTTCTTTTTTTCTTTTTTTAGGGACAGGGTTAGGGTTAGGGTTAGGGACAGTGTTAGGGTTAGGGTTAAGGACAGGGTTAGGGTTAGGGTTAGGGACAGGGTTAGGGTTATAGACAGAGTTAGTGTTAGGGACAGAGTTAGGGTTATGGTTAGGGTCAGCGTTAGAGGAAGGGACAGGTTAGGGCTAGGGTCATGGTTAAGGACAGGTTTATGGTTTGGGTAAGGTTTGGGGATAGGGTTAGAGTTAGGGTTAAGTTTAGTGTTAGGGACAGGGTTAGGTTTAGGTTTAGGGTTAGGGTTAGAGACAGGGTTAGGGTATGGTTAAGGTTAGGGATAGGGACAGGATCAGGGTTAGGGTTAGGGACAGGGTTAGTGTTAGGGACAGGGTTGGGGTTGGGTTTAGGGTTAGGGACAGGGTTAGTGTTAGGGACAGGGTTAGGGTTAGGGTTAGAGACAGGGTTAGGGTTAAAGACAGGGTAGTACCATTTTTCAAAAAGACTACTTAAATTAATGGTGTTCTTCTTTGTCAAATAACTGTAGATGGGTGTGTTAGTTTCTGGGCCCTTAATTCACTTCCATTCATCTATATGTATCATCATGCATCACATCCTGATGTTTCTGTCAATGAGAGATTGTATATGTGACCTAGTCCCATAAGACTATAATGGAGCTGAAAAATTTCTATCATCTAGAGACGTTGTAGCCGTCCTAATGTAGCACAATGCATTAGTCACATGTTGGTGGTGATGTTGGTGTAAACAACCCTACAGTGCTGCCAGTCATATAAAGTACAACAGCTGCAATTATGCACAGTACATAATACTTGATAATGATAATACATGACCATGTTCATGGTGAATGTATTGATTTTAATTTTATCATTATTTTTATTTTAGTTGTGCCTTCATTCACCTTAGATTAGTAAATGTGTACTTGTTTTAAAGGTCCTATAAATAGAATGAACAACCCCTAATATGAGATATAAGTCATCCCACTCAGCATGGTAATTTTGTTTTTAAAGTAGAATTTGTTATAGAAATCTTATTCACCACACTGTAGTTACATGAATGTCGGATGTAATGACATGTACAACGTGAACAAGACAGGCTGATTAAGAATGTACATAATGTAAAAATATGCATATTTGATAGGTTAGCCATATGGACAAATGCATGTGGAAGCAGGAGTACGTAATGAGAAATTTGAATATCCACAGGCAGGTTAGTGTGGGATGCAGGCAAGTTAGTGCAGGCTTCTCCCGGAAGTGCGGTTTGTGTGAGAAGACCCTGTGTGGAAATGGCTGCTGGCTCCCCTTTATAACCCAGTTAGCTAGCAGGAGCCATTAGGATGTATCTTCTTTCTCAGAGCTTATATATGTATTCTTTGGCATGTGAGGGGCACAGGGATAAATAGTGAGGAGAAACCTGGATGCAAATTTTCCATCCCAGGTCCATCCAGCATGTGAGGACCAGAGGGGGTGCCTGGGGAATTGGGTGAAGTGAGACCTGGCGGCAAATCTGAATTCTGACTTCTGCCAGGCTGTGCAAAGCAGAGGTGGTCCTGGGCAAGGGGTGGGGAGAAACCTCCACCCTGGCTCCAGGCAACGTGAGGTAAGGAGTATGGTGCAACTTGAGGGTAATTTCAGCCAGAGTGTGAGGAATAGAGGGTGTGCCTGGGATAAGGGTGGCATGCCAGCTGGCTGGAGTCCTCCTGAGCACTTTCTCCAGGCTGGTTTTATGTGAGTACTTCCTCCAAACCTGTTTCCCATGTACACTTCCTCTGGGCCCAATTTCAGTGAGCACTTCCTGTGGGACCATTTTTCCAGAGCACAAAGTGAGCAGGGGGCCAGCCTCACGTGAACACAGGGGTGAGAGTCGCCCTGGAGGCGCTGCAGCTTCGGAGACAATGTGGGACATTTTTCTGTACCTTCTTTACCTCAGTATCTCCCCAAGAGGTGTGGACAAGAGAGGAAAAAGTAAGAAGAAGTTTCCTGTGCGCAAACTCTGCTGAGGGATGGATGGAATTTGAGCAACACTTCTCAGGCTCAGGATGGCAGGTGACTAAAAAATATATTCCCAAAGTCACAGCAACCTACCAGGAGTGTGGGCATCTAAGAACAGGAGGATCTCAGCAATAATCAGAGAGGGAGGGGGAGGAGAAGGATGAAATAGAGAAGTGTCCAGGGGAAGCTTATTCCAGAAATTTTTTTAACAAGATACAAGATATACATATGAGACAAGGCATGTTGAACTCTAGGAATAGGATTAAGGCAGAAAAAAAGGCTTCTTGACAAAACTTAGCAATGAGTCAGGTCAGGTGTGTGTGTGTTTGCTTATATTTCGAAAAATATCTCTGAAAAAAGTGACTAGAAACTGTAAAAATGGTTACTTTGGTGGGAGAGAAGGAATAATTCAGAAGGGGTGAGCAGCCTGGTCTAGTGCACCATTATAGTTTCTACTTACTTTTGAATTACATAAATATTTTACATGATAAATGGGGGGAGGGCAATCCCTAAAGTTGAAAATAAATGTTAATAAATATAGGTGCTTATCAAATTAGAAACAAAAATAATAAGACGATTTTTCTAAATGACCTTAACATGTGGTATTTGTGTATTCTTTGGATAAAATAAGCTACAAGACATGCTGGTCTTCATTTATTGGGCTGTCGGAAAAGTCATGACATATTTTTTCTATGTTTTTCATTGCAAAAATGCATCATGACTTTTCCCACAACCCAGTATCCTTGTTAGTAGTAATAAATTGTTATTTTAAAACCATTTAATATATACTGTAGGATATGACTATTATAGCTTTTGTCAACAATCAAGATAGCAGCATGTGACACAAAGATGCAGAAGTGAGGGTCTTTACCCTTTCTACATTCCTGTTAGAAATGTAAAATGGAGTAACCACATTAGAACCAGTTTGGCAGTTCCTCAAAATGTTAAACAGAGTTCATATGTTACCCAGCAATTCCACTCCTCAGTATCTGGCCAAGAGAATTAAAAGCATATGTCCTTGTACACAAATGTTTGTAACAGCATTATTCATAATTGCCAAAAAGTGGAAACAATCTAAATATCCATCAGTGGATGAATGGATAACAAAATGTGGTCCATCTATATATACAAAGGCATATTATTCAGCCATAAAAATAAATAAATAAAGTACTGGTAAATACTAACTACAAAGATGAACTTTTGTAGTATAAGCACCTGTCAGTTTTTTTTGCTTTTTGGTTTTTTTTTTACTGTAATGTAAGAACTTGGCATTAAGCTTTTGATTGCTGTGGGATCCACTTCAAAGACATCCATCTTAAATGTACTTGGCCAGCTACACAGTCACAAAGAGAGCCAGGCTGCCTCGCCCATGAACTTCTCCTTTAAAAAAGCCACGATTGACCTAAATACCTGCTTGTTTGAGTGACCCAATAAAGAGTGAACCTGTGAAACCAAAGATACTCCCACCATCTATCCCAATATAGGCAGAACCTCAGGTTTACACATGTGCTCCCTCTCTACCCAGGACCTTACCGTGTGACCTGGGGCGTGCCATGGACCCTCCATGACCTATGAGTAATAAAACTTGTTTTTTCCTCAAAGTTTCCTTGTGATTGTTGCTGATGTCTTTCTTGCAATCATAGTAAGACAAGGGCTGGTTCAGCCACAACATTGGTTCCGGTCAGAGAAATGTCTACGGGGCTCAACACAAGTGGAACAGCCCGGGCGAATGCCCCAGGCATCCGTAGTCAATAGCATCACTACAAATAAGCTCAGACCAACACAAAGCAACCTTGAAAACATGTTAAATGAAATCCAGATGAAAAAGGCCACACGTGGTATGATTCTATTTATATAGAAATATCCAGATTAGGTTAAGTTCATGAAAACACAAAGAATGATGGTAGCCAGGGGATAGGGGAAGGAATGAAAAGTTACTGTGAATGGGGAAGTGTTTCTTTTTGGAATGATGATAATGTTCTGGGATTTTATAGTGGTGATATTTGCACAACTGTGTGAATACTGGAGTGCCCCTTATCCGTGCTTTTTTACTCTCCATGGTCAACCTCTGTCCAAAAATATTAAATGGAAAATTCCACAGAGTAAATCATAAGTTTTAAATTGCATAAAGTTCTGAGTAGCATGATGAAATCTTGCACCATTCAGCTCTTTTGCACCAAGGATGTAAATCATGCCTTTCCCCAGCATTCTCACACTATATACACTCCCTGCCTTTTAGTCACCTTGGTTATCAGGTGGACTGTAGTGGGTCGGCATTCCTTTTGTTCAAGTAACCCAAAGTGCAAGAATAGTGATGCTGGCAATTCAGATACACCAAAGAAAAACCATAAAGTGCTTCCTTTAAGTGAAAAGATATGCATGTATAAGTAAAAACTGTGTGTGCAAGTGTGTGTGTGTGTGTGTGTGTGTGTGTGTGTGTGTGTGTGTGTGTGTGTNTTCAGTAATATCCGAGGTTTCAGGCATCCACTGGGGGTCTTGGAATATATCAGCCATAGATAAAGGGGAACTACTATACTAAAAATGACTTAATGATACATTTAAAAATGATGAATTTTATGGTATATAAATTATATTTCAATAAGGCTCCTATGAAAAAAGTAATTTTTTAACTTCAGTGATTTTGAGTAATTTGATAGTTTTTCAACAATCATCTCATCCAGATTTACAACATTTCCATTGCCCTGGAAGACGATCTTTTAAATGTTAGGCTCAATAGAAACCAGCTGGATTCTCATATTTGCTTCTGCATTCAATATACAGGTTGTCTTTGTGGAAATATATAAAGAAAATATGGCCACACACAGGTATGTTATTGGAAAAGGACAGAGTATTTTAATATACTGATCAGATAATGATGGATATTTCTCTTAGAGAGTACAAGCTGAGCAAGGGATGACTAAGTTCCAGTGCACAACCTAAAATCATGCAGGTATTGACCTTAAACAGAACATCAACTAGATATTCCTCCAACAACAACAAAAGGGTTTATTTGGGGAAAAAGAGAGAATTGTGACCCAGAACATGCAGCCATGGAGAGCCATGCTGCCAGTCCAAGCACAAATAGGAAATTCTTTTATAGAATGGAGTTTGGAGGATTGTTATAACCAAGGAGTTCTTCCTGTAGGACTTTGCCATCAATGTAGCAGTGAGAGCTTCCGCTATGAGTCCCCCACCATTCCAGTCTTGGGTGAAGTCTTTATTTTCTTATGCAGGTAAACTTTTTTTGCTGTATTACATTAAAATCCACTCGTCTGTCTTGCACTTTAAATCTTTTTTCATGCATGAAATCTATTTTCTCTCAGTTCTGGAGGATACATGCCCAAAATCAAGGTATTGGTAGCACTGGTTCCTTCTGAGGCTGTGAGGGAAAGATGAATTGTAGGCCTCTCCTTGACTAGTAAACCTGTCTTCTATGTGTCTTCACATCATCTTCCCACTCTGTGTGTCTCTGTGTCCTACTTTCTCTTTTTTTAAAAATTAAGACAACAGTGATATTGGATTGGCAATCTCTCTAATGACTTCACTTTAACTTGATTATCTCTGTAAAGACACTTTCTCCAAAAAAAACCACATTCTGGTACTGGGGGATATAACTTCAAAGTGTGAGTTTTGGGGGGACACAATTCAATTCATAACAGGCAGTCAGGTTAGAACTCATTTGTAAGGCAATACACCTTAAATCTAATCTTTCTTCATAGGGCTGTGTGATAAGAGAATTCTGTCACTAAAAATATCTAAAACATAATTCCCAATGGATGGGGGCAAAAGCAGTTGACTTTTCCAACTGGTTGAAGCTCTAAATCTGTGGAACTTCTATTTCTTTGCCATCCATCTACTAAATTCACCCCATTCTTGGAGTATCTTGCCAACTGCAACCAATAGCAGTTTATACACACCATTACTTTTTTTTTTTACCCAATTCCTATTCAGCTGTTGAGACATCAGCAACATAGTTAGCTTGCAATTTAGTTAAGGACAAAGTTAACCCAATCAAGTTTTATTTTATTCTTGCCATGTAACAGGAAAGCCAGTGCCACAGATTTAATCGGTGTGTGCTTAATGAATGGATGAATGTTAAGAAAATACTTTGATTCTCCTATAACTTTGGTGACTGTGATGCTGGGGTCTTGCTTAAAATTCCTTAGTGCTTTCCCATTCCTCTTAGGAAATCACCAGGATTCTTAGCCAGATTTGGAGGCAGCAAGGAGTCGCAGAAAACCTGCAGATTCTGGAGGCAAAATGATCTGGGTTTGAACCCTAGCTCCTCTGCTTCCTATTGTGCAACCTAGGACAGGTCACTTTGAGCTCACAAAGTGGAAGGAAGTTAATACACATGAACAGATTTACAGTGAAATTTAAATGAGATGGTGCATGTAACTTGCACACCGCATGACTTTTTGAACATAATTAGTTTACTTTCTTCCCTTGAAATTCTAATTTGTACTTAGTAGCTGCATCATTTTAAGTTATTGCATCAGCAACACAATGACAATACAGACAGATACAGAGCACTGCATTTCAGGGAGAGCTGACTGAATTTGTCTCTGGAGAGAATAACAATGATAGTGTGTATTTGTTTTTTATATTATAATAGAATAGCTAGTTTTAGAAGACCCCTTCTGTGTGCCAGGCATTATCTTATTGAGAGTGGCCACGCACTTACTAGGTATTTTTCAACTGAAGCTCTACCAATTACTAGCTCTGTGAACTTGGGCAAATTACTTAAAAATTCCAAACTCTAGTTCCCTTAACTATAGGAGGGAGAATACTATGTTTTTCAAAGGGTTATAGATAGAAATAATCTAATGCATTAAAGGGCTAAGCCTATTGGGTACCTCCTATTCAGCTGTCTGTAGTTTTTAAAATCAACAATTACTATTATTATTGTTAACATTCACTTGAAGCTGCAGATTTTCTGTTTTCCAAAAAGCACTGGTTTTCTGAATATTTTTAAAAATCAGTATTCCATTATACAGCTATGCCACAATTTGTTTATCCATTCACATGTTGTGAATTATTATACATGACATCTGTTTTTTACATGGACACAGGTTTTCAAATCTAGGAATAGAATTGATGAGTCATATGGTAACTTATATTTAGCATTCTGAAGATATGCCAACCTGTTTTCCACAGAGGCTGCACTATTTTATAATCCTACCAGCAATGTATGAGGGTTTTGATCTCTCCAATCCTCATCAACAATTGTTAGTACCTCTTTTATCTTAGTCGTGCTACTGGGTGTGAAGTACTATCTCCTGTGGTTTTCATTTGTATTTCCCTAATGTCTAATGAATGTTGATCCTCTTTCCAAGGGTTTAATGTATTCTTTGAAGTGAAGCATCTGGTAAAATATTTTGCTTTTTTATTGGTTTGTCTTCTTACTACCTAACCTATGAGTTATAAGGGTTCTTTGTATTCTGGATGCATGTCTTTGTCAGATAAATATATTGTAAATATACACTATTCTATGGCTTCCCTTTTTATGTATTTACTGGTGTTTTCAAAAGAGCTGGAATTTTTAATTTTTAAGGAGTCCAAGTAATCATTTTTCTTTCATGATTCTTGCTCTTTGGGCTATAAGAAATCTTCCCCTAGACCAGGGCCAGTTTATCCTGTTTTCTTCTACATATTATAACGTTTTAGCTTTTATGTTTAGGTTTGTGATGTACTTTGAGTTATTTTTTGTATGTAATTTGAGATACAAGGAGGGTTTTTTCCCATGCAAATATCCAGTTATTACACCATCACTGGGTTAAAAAAACTATCTTTCCTCACTGAATTATTTTAGCACTTGTGTTAAACTTTAATTAACAATGTATGTGTAGGTCAATTTCTGGACTTTGTTTGATTGATCTATGTCTATTTTTATGACATTTCATTAGTGTAGTTCTATACCAAACTTTGAAATGAGCTGTAGTGTAAGCCCTCCAACATTGTCCTTTTAAAAAAATTGCTTTGGTTAACCTAGGTCTTTTGAATTTCCATATAAATTTTGGGTTACCTTGTCAATTTTCACACAGGTGCCTCTGAACCTAAAAAAATAATTTGGGGAGAATTGCCATCTTGACAATATTGAGTTTTCTCGTCCTTGACCATTTATTGTGTATTTATGATACACTCTTTATTTTTGTTCTTGAATTTTAGCAATGTTTTATACTTTTCGCTGTACAGACCTTGCTCATTGTATTACATTTATCTAAGTGTTTCACATTTTTGTGTGACCTGGAGAGCAGTCTCGTGGTGGAGGTGTAAGGCTCAGTGGATTAGGAAAAAGCCTGACCTAATGCCCAGAATGACGGATGCTTTTACTGTAACCAACGCAATGGGGAAACCTGTTCAGGAGGCAGTGGTTCAGCCTAGAAATGCTAAAAGAGTAACAGAAAGTATTTCCAAAATTCCGTTATTTCCAAAAGCTAGACATATGACTTGTGTTAAGAGTAAGGCCTACTCCGAAACATGCTGACCTCTCAAAGTTGTGGTTGAATTCTCCTCCTGTGAGCACAGCAGCAGCCCATGGGCACCCAGCAGGAGGGTACCTTAGGTCTGGGTCTGATTTTGTATTCAGAAAAGGATGCTAGTGGGCCCAGAGGGGCTGGTGGTGAGCATGCACACAGAGCAGCTGAATTAACTCAACCAAGGTTTGGCACACACGCAACAACCCACCACCAAACACTGATGATCACAGAACAGCCAAATGTGTCTTGAGACATTAGTCTCTGTGAAGAAAATCCCACAATCAGGGAGAGAAGTACAAGAATCCAGGCCTTCTGAGAACCACACAATTCAGTAATCTCATTGAAACTCATGTGAACTCAAATGTGTAACATATGAGAGAGAACACGCTCCTGGTTGGATAGATTGTTTCCCACAAGAGGATACTCCTGGTGGAGGTGCCTGGTGGGAACCCAAGGTCCACCCTTTTTTCTGATCACCAACCTGGTCTCTTGTCAGTCAGAAGGGGAAACATTCTTTTTAATTGCTTAACCCAGAGTGGCTCCTTTTTAATCTGTACTTCTTCATGTGTGATTGCTGCAGTTCTAAGAGAGGGAGCTCCTAAGCACTAGGGCTCTGGAATTTGTCTGAGCCTGGATCTATCCTTTACTAACCATGTTCCTTGGGACAGGTAACAAACCTCTCAAGGTCTTTTTTGTCACTTGTAAAATTCCCCATTTTTGTAGCTCAGAACATTCATTGTTTCATAGTGAGCACGAAATAGGTGTTAATCTGGAAGACCTAGTGCTCTGCCTCCTGACAGGCTGTGAAGGTGCATTTGTAAATTAGAGCTCCTTATATCCTCCTGCTAGGGCTTTTGTAACATTAATGAGATTATGTAGATAAAAGGCTTAGCACTGTGTCTGGTACAGAGCAAATTTTCAATAAGTGATTGTTTTGATGATGATGGTTATGAGTTAGTCAGCTGTTTACCTCATTTGAAATATGGTTCGTGAATTCACATATGAGTAAGCATATTAAAAATAAAGATGAAAGTTCTATAAATAAGATTGTATTTGCGACATTGCTTGCTGAGACAAAACTAATATTTACACTCATATTTTTCCACCTATTAAGCAGATAATTTACTGGATAATGGAATTGAAATAGTAAGATACTGACAAAATCATCTACATAAATTGTTCTCATTGCTCGAATGGTAGCTTACACTTTAAGCCTAATTTATTTCTTGGCATCACCTCAAAAGACTTGGTCAGAGCAGGAAAAAAATGCTTACAGACCCAATGACTCAGAAACTACAGCTAAGAGTTTATCCTGAGGAACTAAGATAAAATGTGTGCGCAGTCTGAGAATTTTCACTGCAGAAAAATAATTAAAGCCAACTTACATTTAATAATTGGAGGAAAGCTAAAGAATATATGACATACCCATAAGATGGCATATTATACAACCTTTTCCAATCACGTTTACACAAAATATTTATGCAGTGGGACGTAATCGTGATGTACATAAAAATTTTAAAATAGCACAAATATGGTAACAATCTTGGATAAATTTCTAGAAACACAACACCTACCAGGACTAAATCACAAACAAATAGAACATCTGAATAGTCCTGTAACAAATAAGGAGATCGAATCAGTAATCAAAAATCAAATTAAGTAATATATCCAGAAAGGGCTTTGGAAAATAAAAAAGGTTCTGGAAACATAAGCTTTTAGTGTAGAATGCTTAGCAGAATTGAGTGCATAGGTTAACCCAAATTACTGAACAATTTTTGAATGATTAAATAAGTTATTTAAACATATGATTGGTAGAAAAGTAAGGGAATGTTGAAGACGCTCATGAGACACTCTCTGAATGTCACAGTTGCTCCTGGGCCAATTCACGCTCTTCTAAGTAAGCCTACTGCATGTCAGCCTATGAGCAACTTGGGGAAATGTGAATTTATTTCTTATGGCATTTTGTTTTCTGTTATGTTTCATTATAGAGGCTCCCTTACATAACACCCATTTTAAAAATAATTAGCTCATTGTATTCTGAAAATAAGTTGGGAGAATAGGGAAAGCACCACCTCTCCACTGTAGAGAAATATTTTCCCAGACACATTACTTGAAATCACACTACTTAACAATAGCTCCAGTGCTGTTACTATGTAGTAGCTGAAAGTTTTTGGACTTGAACTGCAACATTGGCTCTTCTTGGATCTCCAGTCTGCCAACTCACTCTGAAGATTTTGGATTTGCCAACCTCCATAGTCCCATAAGCCCACTCAATAAAATGCATCTCTTTCTCTATATCTTCATATCCTATTGGTTCTGTTTCCCTGAAAAACCCTGACCAATAATAATATAGTTAAGAAATGAAGAATGGATAAAAAATAGATTGGGATAGCTAAATCTGCAGAGGCTGACAATTGTTTGGATATAGAAGGAAAGAGGGAGAGAAGAACTTGGTAAGATCCAGTCTATGTGACTGACTGGGAGACTGGGACTGCCTCAAATCAGAGTCAATATGAAGGGGTGGATATAGGGAGAAAAGAATATTTCAGTTTGGGACATCTTTAGTTTAGGGTTTTTTTTTTTGCTTTTTTTTTAGCTGAGCCATCCTGCCACCTGTTGGGAGCTCAACGGCAGCTTATCTCGGGATGGGCATCGAACTGATGTTGCACAGAGCTCGCACTCTTGAGTGAGCACTTAACCAACTGAGCCACTCAGCTAGCCCTAGTTTAGGTTTTAAAGGTCCATTCAAATGAAAACATCCAAGAACCATGTGTTGATGGACATGAAATTAAATGAGGATGTCTGAGCAGGTGACACAATACAGAAGCCAGATGAATAGAAGTAATGCCTGAAACCAAGGCAATGGAAGATAGATCAAACAGCCAAAAGACAGTTTTAAAAAGGAGAAAGAGAAAGATGCAAATCAAGATTAATGTGGCCTCCTGTGCCTGTTGGTGTTGGGCAGGGGGACCTGGAGCCAGAAGAGCAGCCTGGGGTTGGGGACAGATCAGGAGAGTGTGGTTGGTGCGGCATCTAGGCAGGAGAGAATTTCAGGGAGAAATGTTGATCACCCATGAAGACCACTACAGAGATGAAGACAAGTAGCCTCTGGAGGATCTTTCTGCCTTGGAGTGATTTTAGTTGAGCAACAGGTATAGATGATGGCTCACACTGAACGAATAAGAGAATAGCTGGTGAACAAGTGAAAGATGTAAGAGTAGGATCATTTCCAAAGAGGGAAATCTGATGGTGGGAAGAAATAGAAGGACCATACACTGAAAAGATGATGGAAACAAGATGCTACATTGGTTAGTAAGAGGTGAACATACTGTAAACACAAGGGAAAGAACCAGTACTGAATAGACATGGGACGAGAAGATGATTGATGAGCTGAAGTCCTTGTGGAGGGAAAGGCGGTAAGAGCCAAACCTGAAACTGGACTGTTGAGTCCAAAGAGAAAATAGTGGAATAAAGTATGAGTTCGGTTTATCTTCTAACAAAAGAAAACAAATCATAAAACAACCCTTTCCCCAACCAACAGTCTGTCCTTCCTATTGGGGCACTGCTATCAGACTCCATGGGAATAAATTCAAGGCAGGGCACTTAAAAGGAAGCAAGATGTTCGGAGAAAGCGAAAATGGCCGGCGGTGAGGAGTCCTCCCTGAGTTCTCCCCTGGAAATTGCCTCAATTTGAACTGGAGCGCCGCAGACAAACCTCTACCCAGCACGCTGAGCAGCGAAGGGACTCCCGCAGGGGAGCCCGCCCCCACGGTGTTTGAGACTGGGGTCTCAGAGAGCTGATCGAGAGTGTTCCCATGGCTCGCTCCATGTACCTCCGGACCGCACTAAGACAGAATCCTCAGGCAGGGCGAGTAGGGGAACAGAGTGCAAGCAGAGGCGTGGTCCAGTCCGCGCCTGTGGCAGCGGAGCTGTAGGAATCCGGGACACAGTGGCGGTGTTTGCAGCATCAGGGAAAGCTCAGCCTCTGGGCCCACCGTTCCGCTGGGAGTGTGACTGGAGCCCCAGGGCGCGTGGACTCTGAGGCAGAAACCTCAAACCGGTTGAGCAGGAGAAGAGGGAAGCGAGAAGCGTGGAGACACAGCCTGCATCCCGCACCCCGCAGCTGTGGAGACACGAGCTGCAGCGCCAGGGTGGGCTCCTGGAGCGCAGCAGGAGCTCTGCTGGAACAGCTGAGCTCAAAACGGTGGGGGGCTTTTTTATTTCTTTTTTTTGGTCTTTTCTCCCCCCTTTTTTCTTGGACAGAAAAAAAACAACACTGCATAAATAAGAGCCCTCCCTCACCCTTCCTCAGAAACCTTGGCCCCCAGAGACTTAAACTGACCCCTAAAAGGGGCAGTAAGGTCAAATCTTGCAGGCCTCCCCTGCAGGTGACTTCTAGCAGCTCTGAAATCTCCACCCCCCCCCACCCCAACAGCCCCCAGTGGAAAGAGTACCCAAAGATGTACATCCAGCTCTCTGGCTGCGCAGAACTTAGAGTGCCTCTGGGCAGGTGGGAGCAGAAATAACATTGACTTTGTAAAAAAACTACCAATCATACCTCATAAGCCCACTCATCTAAAATAGACCTGCTTCACCAGGGTCACTCTAGGTGCCAGGTGGCCGGATCTGCCCCCGCAAGACACAGAGGAGTTTGTGTATAGCAGAGGAAAACCTGGGGAGAGCTTGGCGGACTTCAGCCAAGATTGGCACTGGTTGTTTCTTCTCCTCTTTTTTTGTTTTTGTTTGTTTGGTTTTGGTTTTGGGTTTTTTTGGTGTGTTATATTGTTGTTGTTAATTGGGTTCTTTTGGATGTTCTGGGGGGCTTTTCATTGGTTGCTTGTGTTGGTTGTTTTTGTTTTTTTCTATTTCATTATTAATTTTAGTTTTTAATATAGGCATATAAAGAGATGCATATATGTGGATATATATGTCCATATATATGGGGGTGTAGACATATAGATATATAGATATATAGATATATAGATATATACATAAACATATACATATATACAGAGATATATATTTTTTCTTATTTTTTCTTTCTTTCCTTCTTTCTTTTCTACTCTCTTTCTCTCTCCCTTCTTTTCTGCTTTCTTGTCACTGCTCTATTTTTCCTCCTTCTTTCCATTTTTTCTATTTTTTTGGGGGGGTGTTGCTATTTTGTTTCTCGTGTTCATTCTATTTTTTATTTTATTTTATTTTATTTTGTTTTACTATTTGTTCCTTGTTTTTTTTTCAATGTCATTGTTTGGTTTATGTTGGTTTGTTTTCTCCTTTTGTATGCTTGATATTTCTGTACATGTTGAGTGTAGGTTGATGATTGTTTTGTACATCTGAGAGTATCTGGTTACATTTGGTGGCTGTTGTGGTTGTGCTTGTTGATCTGTTTTGCTTTAAAGCGGGGCCCAGCCAAAGAGGCACAAGAATCATCACACCCAGAGATCAACTTTAGATAAAACCAAAGCATTACAGGGTCTGACCTACAAGAGTCACACCCACAGGGAAATCACTACAGGCACAAGAGCCCATAGGGGCCAAGCCTCATCAGAGGGGTCAATCCTCACACAGCAGCTCATAAACTGTGGACACAGCTAATCCTCATGGCTAGTCAGCCTGGGAGTCAAGCCCACCTTCTTACAAGCCAAAAGCAATCAAAACTCAACCTCACCAGGAGAAGACACACAACACAAGGAACACCTCTGGTACACACACACAGGAGAAAAGGGAGTCTGAGTAATTCAAATATAAAGGACACATACCACATAAGTCCACCCAGAAAAGACTGAAAGACCTAGGGGATCTACGTATTACATCAAAGCAAACACAAAGACTAAGCCAGAATGGGGAAACAAAGAAACACATCCCAAATAAAAGAACAGAAGAAACCTCCTGAATCAGTGGACCTAGAGGAAATAGAGGTAAACAACCTATCAGAGATAGAGTTCAGAACGCTGATTATTAGAATGTTCAAGGAAATTAGTGAAAATATAAAGGATAGAGAAATCATGAAAAACAAACAGCTAGAATTAAAGAATACAATTACTGAATTAAATAATTAACTAGATGGAAATAGCAGATTGAATGAAGCAGAGGATCAAATCAGTGACTTAGAAGACAAGATAACAGAGATCTTCCAAGAGGAACAACAAAAAGAAAAAAGAATAAAAAACATTGAAAATAGTTTAAAAGAGCTGGGCGGCAACATTAAACACAACAACATGCGCATCATAGGAACACCCAAAGGAGACGAGAGGGAGCAAGGGATAGAGAACATATTTAAAGTAATAATGTCTGAAAACTTCCCTAACCTGGCAAAAGAAATTGACATACAAACACAGGAAGTGCAGAGTTCCAACCAAGATGATCCCAAACAGGCTCACACCAAGACACATTACAGTGAAAATGGCAAGGGTTAAAGACAAAGACAGAATCTTAAAAGCAGCATGGGACAGGCAGCAAGTTATGTATAAGGGCACCCCTGTAAGATTATCAGCCAACTTTACTACAGAAACTCTGCAGGCCAGAAGGGAGAGTGGCAGGAGGTCTTCAAAGTGATGAAAAACAAAGGCTTACAACCTAGAATATTTTATCCAACAAGGTTATCATTTAAAATTGAAGGAGAGATAAAGAGCTTCCCAGAAAAGGATAAGCTAAAGGAATTCATTACCACCAAGCCAGCATTGCAGGAAATGTGAAAAGGGCTTCTTTAAGCAGAGGAAAGAGAAAAATGACCTAACTAATGAAGACCAGGAACACAACAAAATGGCAATAACTATGCACCTATCAATAATCACATTAAATGTAAATGGATTGAATGCTCCAATCTAAAGACATAGGGTGGCTGAGTGGATAAGAAAGCAAGACCCTTGCATATGCTGTATACAAGAGGCTCACCTCAGATCAAAAGATACATATAGGCTGAAAGTAAAGGGATGGAGTAAAATATTTCATGCAAATGGAAATGAGAAAAAAGCTGGAGTAGCGATACTTATATCAGATAAAATGGACTTTAAATTGAATAACATAATAAAGGACAAAGAAGGGCATTTCATAATAATAAAGGGATCGATCCAACAAGAGGACATAACTCTAGTAAACATGTATGCACCTAACATAGGAGCCCCTAAATATATAAAAAAGACATTGACAGACATGAAGACAGAGAGCAACAGTAACACTATCATAGTAGGGGACTTCA